CCGGGCAGAGGTCCTCCTCCTTCTCGCACGCCCGGACCCCCCCAGCACCCTCGGCGGGGACGGAGGACGGGGTGCCGGGGGCCCTGCCGCAGCAGAGATCCTCCTCCTTCTCGGCCCCCTCGGTGCAGCCTGCCCGGGGGTTTTCGGGCCCTGCTGATGCCTGTGGTCCCAGGGCCGGAGGGGACAGCAGCCAGCTGTGGTACCAGGGCGTCCCGCTGTCCTTCCCCACCAGCTCTGCGCCCACCACCCCGAGCGTGGACTACCAGCATGCTGCCGCCTACCCTGGCCCAGCCGGCCACTTCATGGCCCACGGTCAAAACCACCGGCCCAATGGCAGTGGCACGAACCCCGAACCAGGCTCCTCACACCTGGCCTCGCGCGGGCCGACAGCCCCGGATGCTCCACAGCCGCCTTTCCCGGAGGGTGTGAGTGGCCCGCGGTCAGATGCCGGGCACCCGGAGGGCACCAGCGTGGCGAAGGTGAAGCTGCCCTGCCAGACCCTCCTTCCGCAGCCGGAGCAAGGGCCGTCGGCGGCCGAGCTGAAGCTGGAGGCACTGACCCAGCGCCTGGAGCAGGAGATGGATGCTCGGCCGAAGGCTGATTACTTCGGTAAGGAGGCAGTCCAGCAGTCAGCGTGACAAGGGTTCGTTGCAAAGTGTCACTGCAGGGTTCACACCCGCAGGGCTGCGTGTCTCCATACGCCTGCTTTGGTTATGCTTTTTCAGTTGCTCGGGGTTTTTTTTGTTATTCAACATTTATTTATCACAGGGACCAGAGGCTCTTCCTCCTGCAACACTTTTGTCTTTAATCCTACCTCTGAAATTTCAAAGCAAAGGTAGTTTAGCAGCTTTGGGGAGGACAGTGCTGAGAAGAAGCTGGAGCAGCATCTTTTGAAGTGCCCTTCATTGCTGGCAGGGAGGCACTTAACTTTTCTTGACAGTATTCCTGGTTCTCTGTCTTAAAATTACGCTGCCTGACCACGCGTGAGCGGGAAGGCAGCCGTCTAGCCTGCGGAGTCGCGCCTGCGTACTCTGCGGGCACGGAGAAGGGCACATTGCTCTGGGAGGCTTGGTGGTGCCCCCGTGGAGGTGGCCGTGGCCGGGCGTGCTTGCGTGACCTCTTGAAGAGGAGTTGCTTGGGGATGGGAAGGGTGGTGGTTTCCCAAACTTGCCAGGGTTTCCCCTCCATCCCCGGGTGCTGGTCCCTATCAGCTCTGAAAGGATTGGTGCATCCTGAAGACAGCAGAAAACCAGGCAGTAGGCACATTCTTCCCTAAATCTCAGGTCCGTGAGTAGTCCAGGCCACCACCAGAGGTTATGGCTGGCACCTGGGAGTGGAAAGGGACCACTTACATGCAAGGATCTCCCAATGAGAATATTAAATGTCCTGCTGGATTAAACTGAATTAATACCCCGGGATGGCAGAAGGTCAGGGGCAAATCGAGTGTCTCCTTTCCCTGCTGCACCACTTTGCAGTTTAACAGCAGATGAGATAGATAGTTGGGCTGTTGGGAGAAGGAAACCCCAGGTTGCTGGGAAGGCTGAGAAATCTGCGGTTAATTTAATGGAGGATGGGAGCAGGTCTAGTGTATGGATTTTCCTTACGATTTTAGACCCCTGGTCACAGAAGTAGAAGCAGGGGCAGATTAAACTCTTCAGCCTGGTGCAGAGGAAGGGTGTTGCTCTCAGGCTGCATGGGTGCCGTTGCACAGAGTCCTGCCCGGTGGGGTCGGCGGGTGGCTCAGCAGCGGTCTGCGCACACAGGAGCAGCCATGGGCTTCACGCCAAGCTTTGGGGACGTAGCTGGAGGGACCACTGAGTGCTTAGTTGCAAACCACATAACAAAATGTGTTTCTTGGCATCAGGCGGTGGTACTTGCCCGCAGAGGGCTGTGCTGGGATCATTTATCTCGGTATCCAAGGCTGGATTCAGCCTTGTGGCAAGGCAGACGCGTTTGTATTCTGTCGCAGAAAAGTGATGTGTCAAGTTGCTGCACTTGGAGCGTTTTGGCCTGGAAATGTGTTCAGGTGCTTTCTGTCCTGCGTGGGCAGCACGCGGTTTGAATGAGCTCGGGGAGCCTTGCCTGGGGGGGTGCTGAACGCTGTGACAAGGAGCTGATAATGAAGACGGGGTTGGGACAACAGTCTCTCCTGGGAGGTGGTGCTCAAAAATGGGAATATTTTGCTGGGGACAGCATTCAGCTCCACTGGAGGGGTGTCAGGAGTCTCTTCAACAGACCCTGCTGCGTACGTCTTCTCACGGTGCAAGTAAACCAGCTGGGTCGTACCTCATCCAAAATGTGCATGGGGATGGCGTGAGAAAGCAGAGGGACCTGGTTGGTGGATAGCTGATTTTTACGTTTTTGTCACAAAATAAGGGGTAGTGCCAGTGGGAGGCTTTAATCCCGCAGGAAATCCGTAGTGAAGCGGGAGTAATTCTGGCAGCACGGAGAGTCCTGCTGGTCAGGCGGCAGAGTTACCGGTGAGCCCTGGTGAGGGAGGAGAGATGGAGGCTGCCTGATCCCCGCTGAGGACTTTTGACGTCCTCCTGACAGGAGGTTTTACACCAGGGCGTAGTGTCTGAGAAACTGGGGAAGAAGGAGAGTGATGGAGGAGAGGGAGAGGGAAAAACAAAAGGATGCAGTCACGGCAGAGGAAGAAGTAACGTTTTGTGGAGCCTCAGCTCTGTGGAGGAAGGCTTGGCAAATCTGTGCTGTGGAGGACCAAGGAGCAGGAAGGGGCAAGTACCGAGATATTTAAATTCTGCGCCTCCTCCCCCTTTCTTTCTCGCTTTTATTTTCATTTTTTCACAGTTACCTTACTTCCTTTGGAGGAATAAAGTACCCAGCTGGTCCTCTGAATATATCTTTGCTATTGCCTGCCCTCAAGCTAGCAAACTTTAGGATGGAAAGTAACTACTTTTCTGCAACAGTGATAAAAAGGATCAACAGTTTGTTTTGTTGCAGACTTTCCCCCAGTGAAGGGAAGTCCAGTGCAGCAGCTTTGCAGTACCTCAGAGCCTGGAAATGAAACCAGGAATGAAGTGCAGATGACCAACGTGTTTTATCTAAAATGCTTTCGGCTCTCCTAATTTTGGGTGCTGCTTTTGTAAGAAGGAGATTTTTTAAGATGGGTCTGTCTGTCTTGGCAACATACAGTCCTTCAGTCTGTCTCTGTCTGGACCAGATATTTATCATGAACGATTAATTCTGATCACAGTAAAGGAGCTGCTTTTTCCTTCAGTATGTGAAAACAAGTGTTTGTAAATGAAAGCGTAGGAAAGGATAAGCTAGGGACGAGGCACAACACAGGTAGGATGCTCTGCTGAGGAATAACAGACGGTCTGGTTATCTGTCAGCACCAGCTTGCTGTACAAAATCCATTTGTCTGCGCAGAGTATGTATAATAGGTGAAAGGAAAGAAGCAAACAAAGCCAAGAATTTTCTTTTTTTAAATAGTGGCCTATGTCTGAGCAGCCTGGGCTGCACGTGTCTCTGGAGGAATTTGTGTTCTCCACAAGTGCTTTTGAAGTGCTGACTTGATTTATGTGAGCTTTCGTGGAGGACATAGGGAGTCTCAGGTATCACCAGGTCTTAAGCTTGGGAAGGGAAATTCCTGAAATTGCTCCCTGGAGATGCTGTTTCCCATGCAGCAGAGAAAGGGGCCCCAGGTCCCAGGAGGTGCTGCTGGGAGCCACCTTAGGTTGTGTTCAGGTTTTTGGCATACAGTTTCCAGGGAACGTCCAGGAGTGAGGTGCCTGAATCCCACTGACTTTCCGTGGTGTTCCTTTGGATGCACCAGCCTTCATCTCCACTTGGTGAACGGGAAGATTAATTAAATGAGTGACTGGGGGAGTTGCAACTCCCCCGCTAGCACCACCCAGCGGGATGCAGGTGTGTTCGGTTAGGTGCGGTGGCACCATTCTGAGGACCGGCGCGGGACAAGTTTTCAGGTGAGAGCCGGGCAGGTGCACGACCAAACCGAGCGTCTGCCTGCACTGCCTGGAAGTGACTTGGTAGGGGAGAGGCCGGGCTGAGAGGCGTTGGGGTCTGCAGGGAGGTTTTGCCATTCATTTTAGCAGAACCTGTGGTACCGTGCAGTTCCTTGGTCTGCAGGCACAGATGGCTGCTTTCAGAGGTGCAACATGTAGCATCACATTTTTACCAGTGCTTATTTCATATAGCTGGATGGAAATCTCCATCTGAGGGAGACTATCTGCACCCTTAACACGAGCTTATTTAAAACAATTTTTATAAATGGTTTTCTTGTTATAAATATTTGTTAGATATTGAGTTCTGGCTTCCTTATTATTTAGAGCAGAGCTGATAAGAGGCAGGTGTTTTAGGAGGGGCCCCAGGCATCTTGTTTTGCAGCGAAATACTGGGATGCTTCCCAGCAGTTGGGCAGAGAAGATCTTGTAGCGAAGTCTGCAGATTTCTTTTCCCCGTGGCAGAAGGAGAGCAGTAACCGCGTCGCTGAAGCCCCGTGGAGACCTGCAACCCCAGCATCTTTGAATGGGTGTGGTCAGCTCGAAGGCCAGCAGCGCTCTTTCGAAGCCTTGTGCATAGCAAAGTTAGTGTTTTACCACTGCCAAAACCACAATTCGTTTAAGTGTAGGGCTGTACGCACCTGCGGACTTTACCAGACCCTGCTGATGAAGGTGCAACAGGATGCTTCGGCAGCAATGAGGGTGATTTAAGGGTTGCCGAGTGGAGAATTTCTGGTTAAAATGGAAGTTCTTCTGAGGTTTGTTTTGTACATGGGTGATGATAACGGCATTGTTTCCACTCGGAATGAGTGGAGGCATCCCTCGCTGCCTGCTCCTGGAAGAACACCACGGCTGGAAGGAGATGCCCCTGCAGCGGAGGGGAGGGGAAGGCAGGGCGAGGCGGGTCCCGGTGGAACAAGGAAAGCTGGGAGGATCACGGCATGTGCACTAGTGGGTGTGTGCAGACTGCAAAGCTTATCTCATTGCAAGGAACCAAGCAAGTAAGTATTTGCCCGGGATATGGCTCTTCCAGATTGCAGCAGTATGCGCTTCTCCTCCCTTCCTCTTGGGAGCTCAGCTGGGTTTGCAAGCTAAGGAAAAATCTCTACCAAAAGGAAAGAAAAAGGAAGGAGTTGAGGCAGAGGATCCGTAGGTCTTTCAGCCAGGATACTGTGGCAATGAGGACTGAAAGGAATAAGGAGCCTCATTCATTTGGCACTGGAGTTAACGTAATCTCTGACACCACTATAAGGTACTTAAAATGTCGCTGACGTGAGTTTGATGGCATTTTGTACTTCGCTGGCAGTGTGTACACGACTGTCTACAGAAAAGTCAGGGGTCAAGAACATGGCATGCAAAAACAGTACAGAAAAATTGCATTTACCAACTCTGTGGTTCTTTGGGCAGGGAGGACCTGCACATCTTTGCTACCACTGAGTGACAACGTGGGGCTGATACGAGTGGTGATACCCAGCAGTGAATGGCACCAGACTGCCAGATTTTCCAGGCACTTGATCTCACACGGGCCTCCAGATATCCTTGAAATCAACTCTCCAGCAAGCACGATTGCACAGTAGTGGAAAACAGCATAGCGAGGCATGCGGTATGTCTAATTTAGAGTTT